TGTTTCTTGGCTTGTTGGTGCCTCATTTCAATGTTCTGTCTTCACATGACATTTTCCCTACCTGTCTGTTTCCGAATTTTCCCTTTAAACAAGGACACTAGTCACATTGGGTTAGAGACCACCCTAATGACATAATTTAACCCCAATTACCTATGTAGACACTCTTTCCAGATAAGGTCTGTGATACTGGATGTTGGGGCCTCAATATAACTTTTTCGAAGGGTCACAGTTCAATCCATAAAAACTCACCATTAGGCCAGTGCAATGGCTCACACCTGTAATCCCAGCACTTTGGGAGGCCAAGGTGGGCAGATGACCTTAGGTCAGGATTTCAAGACCAGCCTGACCAACATGATGAAACCTCATCTCTACTAAAAATATAAAATTTAGCTGGGCATGGTGGCGGGCACCTGTAATCCCAGCTACTCTGGAGGCTGAGACAGGAGAATTGCTTAACCCCGGAGGCAGAGGTTGCAGTGAGCTGAAATCATGCCACTGCACTCCAGTCTGAGGGACAGAGTGAGACTCTGTATCAAAAGCCGATAAAAAAAAAAAAAAACCACCATCAACATAAGAGTTTTACATATGCTGTTCATTCTCCCAGAAATCTTTCCAACCCTCACTCTTCTGCCATCTTACCTGGTTATCCTTCCAAGTTTCAACCTAGAATAACTTTTCTTAAAGAAAATTGAAGTACAATCTAAATATATTTTTCCCAGTTCATGTATATACTTGGCCTTACTTTTGAAATAATTGTCAATTATGTAATTTTACATTTATTATTGAGATTACTTGATTAGTATTTGTCTGCTTCACAAATGGCATGGACTTCATAATTTGTGAAGTATGTTTCTACTTCACAGAAAACAATTTCTGCCCAATGTTGGGTCAATAGTGTTTAGAATACCATAGTAGGCATTCAGCAAATGTTTTATTAAATAAATGAATCACGGATCAGACCAGCTATGACAAAAGGATATGGCAGAAGTTTCAATATCTCTACCCTCACTAAAATGTTCATGAGAATATGAATTGATTATTTACATATAATTAAGATAAAACAATATTCCACCTGTTAGAAATTAATTTCTGACAAGGAGAAATTATTTCAGGAAATAATTTCTCTAGCATTAGACTAAATTCGACTGGCCAGAAGAATCAATGAGATTTAGAGTTTACTTTGAATTATCTGTGCTACAGGAGTTGGACAGGGCTTTAAGCCTGCTTGTGTTATTCTACTTCTTTTCATCTCAAAAGATCTGTCTGTCTAATTTCATTCATTAGCTACCAAAGCAGGCAGCAAAGCAAAAGATTATAATAAGATTTGAGAAATAGTCGGTTTAGTACAACAAATTTATTGATAAGTGCTTGGCTTTGAAACACCAATACAGAAATAATTCCTGTATTGAGATATATGCTATGTGACTTATAATCAACAGGAGCAGGAACAGAAATGCACACATATAATTTATGTATTTTACTTTTGTTTTAATGTTACACATAAAGGCTTTTAGATTCAAAAATGCAAAATGCTGCTTCTGATTCTTTGGTGGATATCTCTAATACACACACACACATAAACAAACACACACACATACACGCACATATGTAAGTATCTAACACATACATATACTGTGGATGAGAAATATATATATTTTTCTTCTAAAATAAATGATTTATTTCTCTCCTAAAATAAATGGAATATTCAAAAGCTACAATCTGTATCTATATTGTCTTTGAAGACCGGCATGAGTGGCTTAAAATTCTAGCTTTTTACCTTATTATCTGAATCATTATGAACAATTCTTTTAACCCTCAGTTTACTTTTCTGTAAAATAGAGGTAATAGGATTATTCTAGTCATTGGATTATTATGGCTATTAAGTATATTTGATAGATTTAACCCTATTACATACAATATGTACCATAGTTATGGTTAACAATCAATAAATTTTTCTATAATTATCTTCACCAACATAAGCCCAAGAGATGAATTTTAAAGTCTTATATTTCAAACATATTCATTTGCTTTGCAGAGTTCACATGGTTTCCTAAACTTAGGTACATTTTTATCATTATTTTTTCTTTTCTCTTTTTGTAAGCTTGATTGAGGTATACCTGATATACAAAAAACTGCACATATTCAACATACTCAATGTATACATTTTGATAAGTTTGGACCAATGTGATATCATCAGCACAATCAAGGTACTAAACATAATCCATCACTTTGAAAAATTTCCTTGTGTTCTTATGTGTGTATATTTAGTGTGTGTTTGTGTATGTGTGTGTATCTGTTAAGAACACAAGATCTATTCAAGAACAGAAAATCAAAACTGCATGTTCTCACTCATAGGTGGGTATTGAACAATGAGAACACATGGACACAGGGAGGGGAGCATCACACACTGGGGTCGGTGTGGGGGGACAAAGGGAGGGACAGCATGGGGACGGTGGGGAGGTTGGGAGGGATAACATGGGGAGAAATGACAGATGCAGGTGACAGGGGGATGGAAGCAGCAAACCACATTGCCATGTGTGTACCTATGCAGCAATCCTGCATGATCTGCACATGTACCCAGAATCTAAAGTACAATTTAAAAAAGACCTATTCTTTTCACATAATAAAGTTCATGATATTTTATTGTTAATAATAGGTACTATGTTATACAGCAGACCTCTAGAACTTATTCATCTTGCATTATTAAAACTTTATACCCATTGAGCCCCTAGCAACCATCATCTGTTCTATACTTTCATGCGTTTCACTCTTTTAGGTACCACATATATGTGGAATCATGAAGTGAATTAAGCCAGTCACAAAAGGACAAATATGATTATTTTTTAAATATAAGTTTCATGTTTACCTAATAGCTGTTATACGTAATGAATTCCTAATAGCTGTTATACGTAATGAATTAAGACTATTTTCTTTAGGTAAATCGTGGCTATAGTTAATATTAAGAATATCATGTAGATAAATTTTATAATCTCTTCTGAAGATTTAATTCTGCCCAGTAGTTACAGAAGCAAACAGTTATAAACATATTGATAAAATATCCTTATTTTGAAATATTTATTGTTAAGGTTGACATTTTTTGGCCTATGCAATATTCATTCTTTGATGAAAGTATTCCCTCTGAAAATTTTTCATAAATCAAAATATACACACACAAAATGATCAAAAATAAAATTGAAACAATATAAAGATTGTTTTATTAAAATACAAAAATTTAATTTGTTTGGTACATATTATTTTTGCCTCTGAATGTTAGCTAGAATTTGGCAATTAGCCATGCTATATCCAGTTCAAAACTGGAAGTTGCTTCTTTCAAATATGTTGTTACTAACTGTATTAAGTTAATAAAGCATGGCCTACTTACCATATTTACAGAGTTCCTAATTTCCCCAGAAAGTTTCCCTCTAAAAGTCATATTTAAGTGTACATTAAGTATACTTTTTAGTGACTCAAATATATTTTTCTGTTACAACAAGGTTACATGTAGTTACACAGATAGGCCCCATGAAGATGTTAATGATGCAGTATGAATTCAATATGAGGTATAATAGGAAAGCATAGCCTCAATCAAACTTTATTTATTAATCATTGAAAATCTGAACTTGTCTCTTGCTTCTCTTAAACAGATTTGTTGACCATATATTTTATAGGAGTTTCTCACCTTTGTCAAGTATGTGGTATAATCCATAAGATTTCTCTAGAATTATATTTTTAAAAGTTAAGCATACAGAAGATACATGAAGGTTTTGAGTTGTGAAACCAGCATTTGTAAGACCTTATTAAGTGCCTTTCCAATTCCATTCAACAGACATTTATGAATTCTAATGTGTTAGGCACAGTGTCAAATCATTAATATCTTTCACTTACATCAGAGGTCCCCAGTTCCTGGTGTCAGGGACTAGTACCAGTTCCTGGCCTGTTAGGAACCAGGCTGCACAGCAGGAAGTGAGTGGTGGCTGGTGAGCCAGGAAGCTTCATTTGTATTTACTACCATTTCCCAGGGTTCGCATTACTGCCTGAGCTCCCGCCTCCTGTCAGGTCAGCAGCATTAGATTTTCATAGAAGTGAACCCCATGGTGAAGTGTGCATGCAAGGGGTCTAGGTTCACACTCCTTATGAGAACTTAATGCTTGATGATCTGTTACTGTCTCTCATCAACCCCAAATGAGACCATCTAGTTGCAGGAAAACAAGCTCAGGGCTCCCACTGATTCTCCATTATGGCAAGTTATATCATTCTTTTATTGCCCCCCCTCAAGAGACCCCAGTGCGTGATGATCCCCTCCCTGTGTCCATGTGTTCTCATTGTTCAACACCTGCCTATGAGTGAAAACATGAGGTGTTTGATTTTCTGTTCTTGAATAGATCTTAAGTGTTCTTAGCAGATACACACACACACACACATGCACGCGTGCACACACACACACACACACACACAAATATACACACATAAGAACACAAGGAAATTTTTTGAAATGATGGATTATGTTTAGTACCTTGATTGTGGTGATGATATCACATTGGTCCAAACTCTGTTATGGAATCATAACAGAAATAAAGTGTGCAATAAATGTAATATCCTTGAATTATCCCTTACCCACCACCAGTCCATGGAAAAAATTATCTTCCATAAAACTGATCCTTGGTACCAAAAAGGCTGGGGACTGTTGACTTATATCTGTTGACCTTCACTTTAGCTGAAGAGATTGATGTTCTAATTTCAATTTTAAAAATAATAAAGCTGAGGTTCAAAAAGTTTAAACAAGTGTCAGAATAAAATTGGAACCTAAATCTGACTGATTCCTAGACTATACCATGATTACCATTCTATGCTGCCTCTACTCAAGCAAAGTCCTTATTAACTGGTTTTTCAAAAAAGCAGTAACTGTAACTGTTGAAACACCTTTGAAATGCCTCTGAAACTCTTTTTTAAACTCTGTTAAAAAGAAAACCAACAAAATGGTTTTGTTTGTTTTTATATAGGTATATGGCTATTATTGATCCCTTGAAACCCAGACTGTCTGCCACAGCAACGAAGATTGTCATTGGAAGTATTTGGATTCTAGCATTTCTACTTGCCTTCCCTCAATGTCTATATTCCAAAACCAAAGTCCTGCCAGGTCGTACTCTCTGCTTTGTGCAATGGCCAGAAGGTCCCAAACAACATTTCACGTAAGCTAATTTTCTATTATGATTTTCAATTCAGTATATCAAACACTTATAAAACTATAGATTAGGAGCAACAACCAAACAAATAAGACGTAGACATTTCCCCCAGGGTTTGTACATTATTTGGAAAAGGAAACATATAAAAATACTGTAATACTGTATGATGTATGTGGTCAATAAGTTTGTGTAAGTTACTAAGGTTTTTAATTGGAAATATGAGGATGTCTATGTGGGATGGCACTGGAGAGTTTCCTGAAGAAAGCGATAAAAGATAAAAGCAACGTGCAAAGAAAAGCATGGTTGTTATTGATTGAGAAATGAGTGAGAAGGAAGAAATCAAAGCCTAGAAGTGTTGATTGCTCTTTTAAGAAGCGTAGCTGGAGGGAAGGAGCACCCTAGTAGGTTATCTAATTTTATTTTGGTTTGATTTGGTTTGTGTTCTTCTGCTTGTCTCTAGACAAGCAAAAAGAATCTAAAAACCTGAACACTAGGTTGAAAAGGAAATAAAAATGCTATAATATACGGGAAAACTTGGTTCGTATTTTAAACCCACCTTAAATAAAGCAAAAAGGAATAATAATGTAATTGTGTACTTGGTTGCATTTTATCTTTAAATTTAATTTCAATAAAATGCTTATTTTTCCATTTTACTGATCACTTTTTTTCCTTTAAAAATAACAAATGATTCAAATAATGGTTGTCTTTTAAAGCAGTCATTTTATCTACTTTTGCTCTATGCAAAGTTCAGATTTTTGAATCAAAATGTTAGGAAGCACTTATCTAAGGAAAATCAGACAGCTCATATAAACTGAGTACTATACTCTATTCATTATTATTAATACATCTTAATTGTATGATGTTATCATCTTCAAATTATTTGTTGACTGAATTACTTCCTCACTGACTTTAAATCAAGACTTAGTAATCTACTAAGAAACAGAAAGGCAAGGATATTTAAGATTTACTTTAAAAAAATACTGGTATGGATAAGACTGTTATAACAAACTTTTTAATTACTTTAAAGCCTTCCAAGACAGTGAAAACAAAAAAAAGTTTATGAAATTCTATTTGAGTTATCGTAGTATGGCTTTCTCTCCTTTTCCCCTCTAATTGAGTTCTTATAATTTTGATCATAAGCTACTAAATACCAGAATTTAATTTGATAATTTACAGCAGCATACTTTTGATGTGACTACTATGTCAACATTTTTTTAGCAAGTTAGCAATGCAATCAAATGCATCATGACTTTGGAAAATTACATGCAAATGTCCTTACCCGATTTTTTTAAATTGTAGTAACTTGTGGATTCATTATGACTCAGAGTATCTACTTACTTTTTTCCCTCCATTTGAATCGAAATCAATTTGTATATGTCTGATGTTGCAGGGATATAGAAGATAATCCTACATAGGAGAAAATGTATGCCAGTTGATTTGTTTATTGCATCCCTTCCCTTTCCTTCAATGATACATTTAATTAGTTTAGCTCAACAATTACCAAGTAGAATACAAAGCAGTAGAAAGTCTTTCATCCTCAACATCTAGACAAGGGGAACACATGTTTAACTCAGCCCCTTCAACTCAACTATAGTTTTCATATACCAAGTAAACATTGACAAACATCAACTGGCAGGAGTTGAAATGTAAATATAAGTGACAATAGCATGATATTTTGATGGAATTGTGACATGAATGTATAAAGATAATGTAGGGATAATTCTTGGTAGTTTTAATTATGATTTAAAGCTGAGCAAATTCAGTCCCTAGTATTTCTTTCCAAAAAGTCCTTCAGCATGTGTTTTTCTTATTCATTGTAGTTACCATGTTGTCGTCATTATACTGGTGTACTGTTTCCCATTGCTCATCATGGGTATCACATACACCATTGTTGGAATTACTCTCTGGGGAGGAGAAATCCCAGGAGATACCTGTGACAAGTATCATGAGCAGCTAAAGGCCAAAAGAAAGGTACTGTTCCATGTTGTTTGCCTAGCGTTTGTATAGGGTATGGTACACCAGAAAGAAAAACAATCTAGTCATGGCATGTTAATATGATATGATCTGATGCTTTACTCCTATTCGTTAATGTTTTATTATTTTTTCTTTTTTTCTGAGGGTTTTGTATAACCTACTGTCCACATACTATATCAGTTTGTTATAGAATAATTACTTCATTACAGAATGATTTCTTAAAAATTAGCTTTTGTAAAGTATTCTTGATTACTCTGCTGAAATTGCTGAAATTTCACTGAATTTCACTATTTCAGTTGATTGTATTTTTGCAAATCTACCTTTCTTTGTCCTTGATTGAAAAGAATGCCTCTGATATATTGTATTCTATAATCCACTCAAAGCTTCTTTTATCCCAGAAATGATATCTCTTCTAGAAAGTGCAATAATTTTACAATATATATCTATCTTTCCTCCATCCCCTCTTGTCTCTCTTTATTCTTCTCTTGCTTTCTCTGTGTGTTCTTTCCCCTGATAAGACATTTTATATATGTGTACGATTAAAGGATGAGGATTGTATTAATACTATTTTGTAATTCATTGAGTGACACAAAAAAGGCTGGTTCTGGCTAATTTATGTGAAGCAAAAAAAAAAACTCTAAAAAATACTATGTCTATATTTTACTATGATTATTTTTATTAAGACTTTTTCTACTACCACTTTGCGACTAAATAAGTTAGATTTTTCATAAATTTGTGAAGTTAAAAGGAATCACATTCAATCCTTTTTTCTATAGTTGGTGTGTGCCTAATGCATCTTGGAGAGGTTTTATCAAATATAAATGAGTCATACTGATTATGCCAATCATTATTATTTGTTCCATTTATGACTACTTACATAGTACTACTAGCAACATATGGACATTTCGTTTAAAAATCACTCAACAATCTTAAAAATACTTAGCTACAAAAACTCACTTAACAATGATCATTCAGGTTTTAAAAATGCAATGTACAAAATGGATTCCATTTCAATAGTGCTTTGTATCCAATATTGACAATACTAGACCACATCTACATATGGTTAATATTTACCATTATTTCTAGTATTTGAAAACAAAAAGAATGAGTTTTTCCAGATCAGTTTACTTATTTCAGGTTGTACAAAAATATATCTACTGTGTATGTAATTCCATTTTATTTTTCTTTAAAAAAGAGTTTCTTAAAAATAATGTGCACAAACAACCAAATGGCCTCTGGCACCTACAAACAAATTCTAAAGTGAGGAAAGCTTCAAAAACATGGCCCTCTTACATGAACAGTATCTCTCTCCCCTTTGTAATTTCAACCCTCATTACCTAACATCTTGCTCATGTTGAAAGATACTCTTTTCTTGGGATAATTTCTTACAGCTATGTCTTAGGTATCAACACAGTAAATAACTGATGCTATGTTCTGCGTATTTCAGAATAATTTCTCTATAATATCTGCTTAGTTTCTGTCATTTATTTTTTTCATATTAGTTTAGATTTTTCTAAACATTTCACCGTGCAGTCTTAGACAAATTAAAATGAACCTAGTAATTGTAGATTATAGTTTTTCTTCATATGCATGTAACATTTTTCTAGAAAGAAATAAAAATTTAATCTGAGTGTTCCTTTTATTTTTGAACTCAGAGTCCCAGAGGGAACAAAAAGCAAGAGGGTTTCTTTTTTAACTTTGCCTCTAAACAACTGGTAAGAGGCAAAACATTGCCTTTTGATTTCATTACTCCACAATTTCAAAGTAGAAATATTAACTCAAACTGGGAATGTAACCCTTCTAGAATATTTTTTAAAAGTAAGACATTTTAAAGTTCCAACTCATATGTCTTTGTCTAGGTTTGTGTTCTAGACTGAAATAATACAAAATGGCTCTTTATGTCATGGACTTCTCATAATAAATCTCTTTGTCTTTGGATTTATTTTACAGTTATTGATATGACCATTGGTATCTAGGTACTAACACTCATATTGTTCAAATTAATAAAATTTTAAAATATAGCTAGCTCTTCTCTTAATTTCTTTCTCTTTATCTAAAATTACAATATTGTTCTGGAATGGCTTAGAATACTGCTATTACTGGTAATCATGCTAGTTTTATACTTTTCACATGATTACTTAAAACACAGAAGTTCTACCCTGGATGGGCCATTTATTCATATGTTGTCTCCTAGAGAATACACCTTTGATTACAGACTGGACATGAGATATTTAAAAAAAAAAAAGCATTGGCTACATGAGTGCAAACTAATCATGACTATTGGGAAAAACAATTCTATACACTACTGTGAGCCAGTCTCTTCATAATAAAAGACTACACAAGGTGGAACAGGATGGTCAAATAGAAGCCTTCACTGATTATCACCCCAGAAGGACACCAATATAACAACTATCTACACAGAAAAATAATCATTTCATATGAGCCAAAAATCAGGAAAGCTCTCACAGTATCTGATTTTAACTTCATATAGCTGAAAGAGGCACTGAAGAGTGTAGGAAAGGCATTCTTGAATTGTCATTGATACCCCCATCCCATCCCGAGCAGCAGCCATGTGGCACGAAGTGAGAATTTGTGCCCTTGGGAGAGAGAGCACAGCAACTGTGAGACATTGCATTGACCTCCATGCTGCCCTATCAAAGCAGAAAGCAAAATTGGCCAGAATCCAGCTGATGCCTGTGCATAAAGGGAATATTTAACCCAGCCCTAGCCAGAGAGAAGACACCCATCCCAGGGGACAGAAGTTGACTTCCTCCATGCCTCACCACAGTGGGCTAAAATCCTGTGGTGCTCTAAATAAACTTTAAATGCAGTATAGGCCACAAGGACTGCAACTCCTACATGAGTCACAGTGCTGTGCTGCGCTCACAACCAGTGGACCTGAGTGATGCAAAACCTACTGAGAAATCAGCGGGGCTGACTAAGGGAGTACATGTACCACCTCCCCACAACCCCTGGCAGCACAGCTCATGGGTTCAAAAGGGACTGCCTCCTTCCACTTGGTAAAGGAAAAGAAAGAGTAAAGAAGACTTCATTTTGCATCTTGGATACCAGCTCAGCCATAATCAGATAGGGCACCAGTCAGAGTTATGAGGCCACCTTTCCAGGACTTAGCTCCAGGATGACATTTCTAGACACAACCTGGACCAGAAGGGAACCCACTGCCTTAAAGAGAAGGATCCAGTCACAGAAAGCCCCATCACCACTGACTGAAAAGCCCTTGAAAGCTTGAATAACCAGTTGCAATACCCAGGTAGAATACTGTGGGCCTTGGGTGAGCCTGAGACTTGCTAGCTTTAAGTGAGACCCAGCACATTCCCAGCTGCGGTGGCTACAGGGAAAAACACTTTCTGCTTGAGAAAAGCTAAGGGAAAAGTAAAGGGACTTTGTCTTCCATGTTAAGTACCAGCTCAGCCACAAGAAGATAGAGCACAAAGTGGGCTTTTAGGGTCTCTGATTCCAGGCCTTGACGCTTGGACAGCATTTTTGGACCTACCCTGGACCAGATGGGAGCCCAGTGCCCTGAAGGGTGAATCCCAGTCCAGGCAGCATTTACCACAAGCTGACTTAAGACACCCTGGGTCTCAAGTAAACATAGGTAGTAGTCTGCCAGTATTCCCTATAGGCCTGTGGCAGTGGTGGCCACAGGGTGAGGGGCCTCTGCCTCTGGAATGAAGAGAAAAGAGCAAAAATAACTGTTTCTTGTGGTTTGAATGCCAGCTAAGCCACAGTACAATAGAACACAACGTAGACTTCTAAGGTTTTTGACTCTAGTCTCTGACTCCCACACAGCACCTCTGGACCCACCTAGGGAGAACTCTGGACCCACCAGAACACCTCTGGACCTACCTTGGAGAACTTACCACCCTGAAGGGAAGGACATAGCCTGGCTGGCTTTACCACCTGCTCATTGAAGTATGCCAGCCTGCAAGCATAGACAGTAGCCAGGTTTTGGGTGAACCCCAGTGCTGTGTTTGCTTTATGTGTGACCCAGTGCAGTCCCAGTGGTGGTGGCCACAGGCTAGTTGTGTCATCCCACCCACAGCTCCAGGTGGCTCAGAACATAAAAAGGGGCTATGTTTGGAAGAAAATGAAGGTAGAGAACAAGAGTCTCTGTCTGGAAATTAAGAGAATTCCTCTGAATCTTATCCAAGACTAACAAGGAAGTACCTCTGTCAGTCTGCAAGAACCACAGCCTTACTTGGTGTGGGGTACCCCCTAATACAGATATGGCTTAGATCACAACACCCAAGTCCTTTTGAATATGTAGAAAGCCTTCCCAAGAAGTCTGGGTCCAAATGGGCCTAGGCTCTGAAGGCTACAATAAATTACAAACTCTTCAATGCCCAGACACAGAAAAACATCCATGAGCGTCAAGACCATCCAGGAAAACATGACCTCATGCAATGAACTAAATAAGACACCAAGGACCAATTTTGAAGAAACAAAGATAAGTGACAAATATAAGAAACAAAGATAAGAATTCCAAATTGCAGTTTTGAGAAAACTCAAAGAAATTCAAGGTAACACAAAGAAGGAATTCAGGCTTATATCAGATAAATTTAACCAAGAGATTGAAATAATTAAAAAGAATCAAGAAAAGTTTCTGGAGTTGAAAAATACAAGTTATATACTGAGGAATGCATTAGTAGCAGAATTCATCAAACAAAAGAAAGAATTAGTGAGCTTGAAGGCAGGCTATTTGAAAATGCACAGTAAGAAGAAACAAAAGAAAAAAGAATAAAAAACAGTAAAGAATAACTACAGTATCTAGAAAATAGCCTCAAAGGGGTTATGTAATATACACAAAAATCAAATCTAAATGGATTAAAAGCTTAAATCTAAGACCTGAAACTATGAAACTACTGCACAAAAACATTGGGTAAATGATCCAGAACACTGAACTGGGCAGAGTCCTTGACCATTAAAATTAGAGTGTTGAACCTGAAAATGAGCATTAAAATTCTGTGGCTCCAATG